TGGCAATACAGTCGACTCAATCACTTTGAGCCAAATATAACCAACAAATCATAATTATCTCCAAAAGACGTATTATTCTTGTATTCCTAAGCAACCAATACTGCTATCAATTCTTGAGTCGATTGCATATCAACTATCAATTGGTTGCTCTCGACTGTCATTATCTCATATCACGTGTCTTTATTTGCGTAATCCTATGCCATAACACTATGCCATTCAATACCAATCAACTACAATGTCCTAAATTGTACCCAATTTACTATAAAGTCCACAATTTAATCGCCAATACATCAAATTCCGGGTCAAATATTTATGATTTCCACTATTCTCGCAATAGTACTCAATAGCATCTAGGCATTATGTAAACAAATTCTACTACTCATATCTAATTAACCTTGGTGCTAAATAAATTTTAAGCGTTATTAGAATAATTGGGTTAAGTTAAGAACTAAATGGTCAAGAGCCTACATATACAGTAGATTGAGTAGGGTTTAATTCACGTACCGTATTTAGATTTCACAAATATTCATAATACTGTATTAAAGAATTGTTAAAATGTGAATCAAATTAAGTATAACTCATTTAATAACTATTTATTGTCAAAATTGGGATTAAAATTTCATATTAAAAATCAATAGAAAAATAATGAGCGAGAGAATCACTCAATTGTTTGCAAACATAATTGAATTAAATCCTAAAACTAAAGTAAAAAATTAAAAACAAGTCACAAGTATTATCACAGAATACACATCAATTTAATAATATGAGTCTATTTGTCTATTTGAACAGTAAATATCAAATCAAAGTTTGCTCTCCAGTTGTCCTCCATTTGAAAGACTATTTAATGGAGTGATTTGTCCATCAAATGCCAATTCAATGACTTCATCGATATGTGAAACGAAATGAAAATACATTTCAGCCTAAAGTAAAGTAATATAAAATTAATACAAATAGTAAAACACATAACAATTGAATATTTAATACCTGTATAGTCGTCGGGATTTCTTTCAAATCCTTTTCATTTCTTTTGGGCAAAATAACTCTCCGAATGCCGGCGCGATGTGCGGCTAATACTTTGCTTTTGATGCCACCGACGGGCAAAACAAGGCCTCTCAATGTTATCTCTCCAGTCATCGCAACATCAGATGAAACAACTTTCCCTAAAAATAGTGATACCAAAGCCGTGACAATTGTCACACCGGCTGATGGGCCGTCCTTTCCAACAGCACCGGCAGGAAAATGAATGTGAACATCGGTTCCTTCCATAATGTCTGTCATGGGGAGGAGTCCATGGCTTAGATAATGATTAATATGAGTGCGAACCCAATTGAGGGCCAATTTGGCCGATTCCTTCATCACATCTCCCAATTGACCCGTAAGTATAAGCTGTCCGTCCCCTTCCATTTTGGTCGCCTCGACAAACATTATTTCACCGCCGACTGTAGTCCACGCCATACCCACAGAAATCCCTGGCAATGCTAGTCTAGCGGCCAATTCATTCTCATAGAGGGGCGGACCTAATATGTCCTCAACAGTCGATTCGTTGACAATAATCGGCAACTTTTCGGAGTTCATTATAGCATCAATGGTTTGCACTTCGTTTGGTTCATTCGTTTCAATGGTTTGATGGCTTTCGAGACCACTATTATTGAGACGATTGTGTTCAACAACTTTGACGGCCACAGCCCTGCAAACCGCGCCTATCTTTCGCTCCAAATTACGAACGCCTGCCTCTCGAGTGTACTTCGATATGAGTGCCGCCAAAGCGTCGTCCGCCATAACCAATGTCTCGGGTGTGAGTCCGTGCTCTTCAAGCTGTTTGTGCACCAAATGATGTCTACCGATGTGTAGCTTCTCTTCGTGTGTATAACCGGGTAGTGAAAGCACTTCCATTCTGTCCAATAGAGCGGCCGGTATTGTACTCGTCGTGTTAGCTGTCGCTATGAATAGCACTTGAGATAAGTCGAAGGGAACGTTGAGATAGTGGTCAGTAAAAGAGCAATTCTGCTCCGGATCTAACACTTCCAGCAAAGCAGAGGCCGGATCTCCATGAATGCCGGACCCCTAGGTTTCATAGATTATAAATTATAATATAATCTAAGAAAAGGTTGGCCTATTGTTTTATGATAAGCCATTATATGTTACAATAAAATACCATTTTGTCGATTTCGTCCAATAAAAACACGGGATTTTTCACACCAACAGTCTTCAAGCCTTGAATTATACGTCCGGGCATTGAGCCGATGTATGTCCGCCGATGACCCCTAATGTCTGTTCAAATCAAACAAATATTTCATTAAATACAAGTCATTCTTAGAGACAAACTCGATGTGATCCCTACCCGCCTGATCACACGCTCCTCCCAATGATATTCGATGAAATTCTCGACCCAAAGATCTAGCAATAGATCGGCCGACACTTGTCTTACCGACGCCTTAAGAAATAGACATTTTGTTAAACAATAATCTCACATAAAATCGTGAAACTCGTGTAAATACCGGGCGGTCCTACAAAGCAAAGAATGGGTCCTTTCAGTGAATTCTTCAGTTGACGGACCGCTAAATATTCCAAAACTCTTTGCTTTAATTTCTCTAAACCGTAATGATCTGAATCTAAGTCTTGTCGCGATTTCTTCAGATCTAGTAATTCTGGTGATGTCTTATTCCACGGCAAGTCTGTCATCAGTTCCAAATAGTTGCGTACAATCGCGTGATCCGGGATATGAGTGGGCATTTTCTTAAGTCTCGACAACTCTTTCATCGCCACCTTTCGCGCCAATTCAGACATTTCTGCAGATTTTATTCTGCGCTCAATCGAAGCGATGTCATCCGAGTCGTCCACATCTTCGTCCTCTACATCAATGCGATTATGGCGTCCAATGTCCGCCAATTTATCCATTTGAAGGGTTTGGGTCGCGAGGGTGCCGTCCTTTTTAGCCTTTTGAAGCAGTTGAAGACCCTTTCCATTCAACAAACCACACAATTAATCATTTGTTCAAAAGTTTTATAAACTTTTACTTCAATTTGTCGAATAAGAAGTGGAAGTGTTTTGCGGAACCGTTCGGCCAAATCAACAGAATCTAAAACCTGTAGTCTTTCGGCGTGAGAAGCCCTCACAATAGCCGCACAAACATCGGGTAAACTTTGTACCGGAAGTGAGTTGAGTAGACGCTTGAGTTTACCCACCGCTGGCACAGACAGGTCCAGCATATCTATGAGTCTGGAGGCCTGCTCTCGAAACTGCTCCTTAAGGTCTGAGAGCTCAACATTTTCTTCATTTATTTCTAATTAAATCGAAAATATAATTAAAACCCAAAACCAATGGTAAGGTAAGAGATGTCAGACCGATGTCATGGACGGGAAGTTTATCCAACTGCTGCACCAAACCTACCAAATAGGGTGACTCAAGAACTATGGTTTCGAGTTTGAATCGACACAATCCGGTCACCAGAAGTGTATACGAAGGTCGGGGCCAATTGGTTCCGGTCACCTGAACCACAATACCCGCGCAACCGATTGAATGCATGCCATTGTCGTCATCTGAACACACAATCAAATGTCACATCAAGTGTGAGACAAAAGCCTATTATTTGTATACATTTGCTATCGTCTTCAGGGGTGGAAGTGTTGGAAGTGTTTGTGGCGATCTCTTTGGGAACGACACCAATGATAGCACTGGAAAGTGTGCTTCTGTTAAGTAAGTGACTCCTAACCATTGACATACTGTTCCCATTCAACACAATACCCAATATAAGTAATCAATTAGTATTGTGTTTGTTTTAGTTTTATGGACACAAAGTCTTATAGAAATCTCTTAATATAAAAAATCTCTGGAGACTTCACTCATTTGATTCATAAATGAGATGTCAATTCATATATCATAAGAAGTATTCAAATATCTTATCATTTGTTTCCCGAAATCCAGAAATTTGTTATAAAAGAGCAGTTTATTTGACAACAAGTGTCCACCAAATCATGGCAAACCCTATGACACACTTAAGCCACGGATCTAATTGAGTGATGACTTACTTTCGATAGGAAGTGACGGGAATCCTAATACTCGACCCTTAAGTCCAATACAAGTGATCAGTAAATTGTAATTCAAAGACAATTATCT